TCTAAATATTGAAATTTAAATAAATTGCACTACATGACTAAATATCAAATGTTCTCATCAATAAAATGTGAAAATCGTGGCTCCTAAAGCTCTGAACATCCTTTATAAAGTGTTTATACAATTGACATGTTGATTATTTTGTAAGAAAAGAAAAACAAAATAATGTTTTAAAGTAAAACAATTTAAAAAAAGTTGGAATAAAGTAGTTGCATAAGTTTGTTTACCATTTATTAAAGTTTATTTTTAGTTTCAGCATCCGGTCTGGCCGTAAAGATTTTCCTCCATGTAAGGAACAAACTTCCCTCCATGTGACCAGGATGTTTTACCTTCTCTTAATCTCTGCGCTTGTCAAACCCAGCAGATCTGAGTTCACACAGACTGAAGGAGCAGATGGTGAACATGGCTGCTGCTGTACGGGGGGACACACTGCCACCCAGTGTCCCCAGCCCCACAGCGGGACACTTCAGGTCCAGTCATGTCCGTCCACCAAAACAATGTATGGAAGAAGAATAATGTCCAAAGACGTAGGGGGTAAAACACTATATCGGTGTGTTTTTAATGGATTTTATTGCTTCTTTAAAACTTTTAGGATTAGTTTTCATAATCTGGGGAGCCTGCACCAGTAAAACCCAACAACAGCAGCAGGTTTATGGATATGCAGTGGAAACTCTGCTCTGAGTTTCTTAGTTCACTTGAAATAAGACAAAACTGACTTAAAAGTAACTTTTCAGCAAGAAATGGAGCTTGTTGTGAGCCAGTAATTCCTTAATATGGATTTTAAAAAAGATTAGATTCACCTGCAGATTATTTCACGTAGAATGCACTGTAAAAACACAAAATCTCACACAGTATTTTAGTCTTGTTTCTACTGCAAATATCTTATTACACTTGAAATAAGACAAAACAAACTAAAAAAAACTTTTCAGCAAGAAATTGAAGCTTGTTTTGAGCAAACAAATCCTTAATATTGATGAAAAAGTTTCTAGTTCCACTGGCAAATTGTTCCGCTTATAATATGGGAAAAATGTCATATTATAAGTGAAATAATCTGCCAATGGAACTAGAACTGGGTTGCTTGGCAACGGGCTGGGCTTGGTTGGGGTTGCTAGGTAACGGCGCAGCGGAACATTCTACCAACTTTTTCATCAATATTAAGGAATTATTTACATAAAACAAGTCATTTTTCAGCATCTCTCTTGCTCAAAAATGACTTGTAAGTTAGTTTTGCCTTATTTCAAGTTTACTAAACTATTTGCTCTAGAAACTAGACAAAAAATAATTGGTAAGATTTTGTTTTTTGGAGTGTGTGGGTAAAATATCTTGTTATAAATGAAATAATCTGCCAGTGGAGCTAAGCTTTTTCATCAATATTAAGGAATTGTGGACTTTAATCAAGCTCTTATATCTTGTTGAATGGTTATAAGTTAGTTTTGTCTTATTTCACGTCTACTAGAAAAGTGAGTTTGTTGTTTTTAAGTGTAGTGACTCTTTTTCTCAAAAACAATAAATCTATCAACTTTATATGGTTTTCTTAGAGATTCAGATATGAAAGTAGATATCATATTTCCTCTTAGTTAAGCTGTAGGTGTCACCTTGATCCCACTTAACATCGTCCAGTCAGGAATTAGGTCAACATTTACTTCAAAACATGGTATTACACGGCAGTAGGATGTAGTTGGAGTCTTTGGGAAAACATTTACGTAAGGAAACTACAGATTGGTTACCTTCTTTAACTTTAGATCAAAGTAACATTCCTGTGATCTCCATGTTGGATCCAGATAAAGCAGCAGTCAAAATGACTGCCTGCTACTTTCTTCTCTAACCACTAAACTGACCTGAGCAGGCTCTCTGTGAAGACGTGTGCAGAAGCTCCAGCTGTTAATTGATTCTTTTGTTCGCCCGGATCCCCATCGCCATGAGGCCGAACCTCCATTATCGGGCTAGAAAAGGGCGGACGAAGCAGGCGGAGCATGAAGACAGATAGTTAGGGATGAGGAAAGATAACGAGGAGGACAAACTACCCTGCAGGATTAGCAAAGAGGGTGGATAATAGGGAGCAAGTGTGACAGCAGACACAGTCGCCCCCATCAAGCAGGAGTGAAAAGATTGAAAATGAGCAAATCATATGCTGTAACTTATCCCTCCCAGCTCACCAGAGACCAAAACGGGCTTTGATTTGAGACGCGGGGCGGCCGAACCTCCAGGTAGCTGCAGGGAGGCGGGTGTATCGCTTCACACTCTGGAGGATTTGTTCCTGCACCTAACTGGCTGCAGTGGTCACCAGTGCCGTCCACTGGTTCCCAGCATGGTGCTCCGTCAGTGTGCTGTGACTAATCCAGCAGAGGTCCCACATTTTTTCTCACCCTAATTAAAAGAGGATTAGACGGGAAGCAGCTCCAGCCATTTCTGCTCCTTTGATTTCTTACGCATGTTTAATGGACTTTTCTGGATTTCCAAAATTATACTGTTGTTAGGCCTGTCGCAGTGAGCAATAAATCAATTAATCGCATGAAAAATACAAAAAAGCTCAATGGTTCCCATTTGCATGATTTATTTTTTCTTTCTACCAAAAACTGGATGACAAACATCTTCAGTCTGGGGATTTGGTCTCAACCAGCCATGTATTGAAGGACAGTTTTGTTAACAGAGACTTAATGATTCATTTTATTAGTTCTTCTGTTTATTTATTTTGGATATTTGAAATGTCTTTCAGTTCCAGTTTTAAATGTTCACTAGAATTTAAAGTTTATTGGTATTTAAGAATGTGTTCTTGCACTGTTTTACTTGAAAATGGTCTCAACAATATTAGCGTTTATCGCGATAACTTTGGGGACAATTTATCGTTCAGCAAAGTTTGTTGTTCATTAATCTCATCTATCCATCTGATGGGAATCATTTTACCTTCCAGAACCCAGGGTGTTAAACTCATTTTCATTTTTAAATATACTGATAAAACTACCCATTAACCTGTTAAAATATAAACTGTTTTGCATTCAATGAGTAATTCTTGAATAATAATAGATAACGGTAATTGATAACTTAATCTCTGAAAGCATTTGTGGTTTTATTCAATATTGGTAAATATTGTCCTATTTTTGCTGCATTTTTTGATCATTCTAGCTGATCGTCGTCCTCAGGTTTTTCAACCCGAGATGATTGAACGCAAAAGAAAAAATAAGATATATGAAACATCTCCTTAATTTTGCAAAAAGATCTCTACAAATACCAAAAAAAAACAAAGAATGTGAAATAAAGCATGAAATTTGTATTGACAATAAATACATTGACAATACATTGTATTCTACAATAAATACAGTGCAGTAAAATTGGTACTAAAGCAAACAGGAAGCAGATATTACGATAAATTAAAAACATTTAATGATCTACAACATTCATATGTGTTTACAGATTTTTTTATGTTTACTTTTGGAAATGGTTGATAACTATAATTTGATCTTTTAACTAGAAGGATGAAAATTATTGAAATTTACATTTGTGAATATGAAATTTGCCAAATATAAAATTATATTAATTACCAGTTTTCTGTTTGCGTCCATAGTCTTTCAATTAAAGCCAATAATATCTTAATATGTTAATATCTTAGTGAAAATTTACTAACGTTACAAATTAAAACTTTGTGCAGTGTTTACTCTGTGCTCAACACAAGGGGGCGCCCTTTCCCCATTGAGCTGCAGCGTCCCTGTCAAAACCCACCGCAGTTTAAAGTCATCAACCGCAAAAGGCGCTGATATTTAGCAAAAACAGCAATTAAATACTAAATTTAACTTCTGTTTTCTGTTAGTTTTTGATATTGTTCATAGATTCAGTTCAATAAATTCAAATGAACATGGAGAATTTGAAATAAAGTTCCTAAACTTTCAGTTTTAAAATCTTCATGTTGCCCGTTTTTATGTTGAAATGACATAAAACGTGAATTAACGAATATAAAAAATATTTTTGCCTTTAAGAAAGCTAAATAAAACTAATTTGGAGCTGTAGTGTTTCAATAAAAATGACTTATAACTTCTAATTTCTGATAAATACTGACTAAAATAGGGGAGTCCAAAGTGAGGCCCGGGGGCCATTTGTGGTCGTCTGAAGGATTTTGGGCGGGCCAAGCATACTTGGTTGAAACAGATCGACACTTTATTCTTTTTGCGAACTTTCTTTTTCTTTTCTTTTTTTTACAGAAAAATAATATCTTTGCCAAAAAGTATTAGATGCAAAAGTAGATTTTGCATCTTTATCTTAATTTTGGGGTAACTAGAGCCACAAACACTGACCTCCTATTACTCAAAATTAAATTTTGCAGCCAAATAAAAAAAACAATCAACCCAAAAATTTAGAAACTGTAAACTTGTCTTATACTAGATACATATGAAAATAATTTAGATTTGTTTTTTTGTTTTTTGTTTTTTTCAAAAGTCAGATTTTTTTTGTTTGTTTATTATTGAGAAGATAAAATAAAGAAAAGGCACAAAAGTTCATTTAAAAAATAATGAAAATTTGTGGCCCCAAATGCTTTTAACTTAATAACTTTTGCCCTCATGGACACAACTAGACCGAAGGAAACATCTTTAAATATTTAGTTTTTAAAATAAAGAAATATAGAATGACAATTTTTCCTCTAAAATGTCTTTTGTTAAAAGTGATGTTTTAAAAAGCCAAATGACAAAAAAGATAGAAGAAATATTAATGGTTCTGTTGGTGTTTAGTAATGTAGTTATTCCATGGAAATCTGCTGAAACACAGTATTTTTAATTGTATTTGTATTTAAAAACATAATTTAATTCATTATGATTCTTAATCAAATCTAATAAGGACCATTTTAGAAGATCCAAAGAGGCATTGTTGGCTTTTCTGGTCAGAAACTGGTTGAAAAGTGAAACTGTCATGGCCTCCACCGTTATTTGTCGTCCTTTATGCTAACATGCTAGCCTGGTTCCCTGGGTTGCTATGACAGCTCTGAGGCTCCAGCAGCAGAGAGAGGGAGAGAAAGCACACACAGCAGTCTGTGTTTAGACAGTTTGGGATAGTTTGCTGTTCTGCAGTTGGTTAGGAAGGAAACTGGGATTCACTCAGCTGTAGATTAAAGTCTTGTTTGTGTCCACATCAGCTGAACATGGAGGAACTGGAGCCGTTTCTACACAGATATGTCCTATTTATCAATGGAATGACGCAACTCAAAAGTATTTTAAAGTGTTTTAGTCAATTTGATTCTAATTTAAAATTATTTTCTTTTATTAAAGTTCCAGTATGTAACTTTCACAATCGTCTGTTTTTTCCATATTTATTAAAACAGCCACAGTTGTGATAGTTTGGTATGTAAAACAAAGAGTAAATTTCCACCAAATTTTGAGGTTAATCTGACATTTTCTGCAAATGCAAAACTCAAAAATGAGCAAGAGAAAAAAATCCCGGATTTTTAGATTAAGATATCAGAGATTAAAATATTTCAGATAATTTTATTTAAAAAATAAATAAATATACCCGAAAATTTCTGAGTTTTGCTGAGATTGCTGATTTTGCTGAGATTAATCTTAGTTTTTTAAATTTTAAAGGCCCTGAAAACTCTGGAAAATATGGAATAGATCCGCAGTCCATGTTGTGGTCGCTTTACCAAGAACCGACCACAAGATGGAGCAGAACGGAGGAACCTGAGGAAAACCCGTCCACCTACCACTTCCTGCTGCTTAGAGACAAAACAGAGACATAAATAACTCAACTGACCCACAATAAATACCAGAAGTTCTTTTACATTTCTCTGAAAAATCCAGCTGTACTATTGGATAATTTTTCGGGTAATTTTGTGGTGATTTGTGTAAATATTTGGTGCAATTCCATCAATACCAGCAACATTTTCCAAAAAAAGCTTCTGTGAACATCAGTTTTCAAGCATTGCTATTGATTATTAACTGGATTTAGGCCTGGACTTTGACTAGGCCAGAGGTTTTTATTTATTTTTCCCCCCAATGACCATGTCTTAGATGTTTATCTGTACCAACACACACAATGTAGAGGATTGCTTTAGCGCAACACATTCGACAATAACAAACTATGATTGTACACTAGAAAAACACAAAATGTTACCAAGTATTTTTGGTCTGATTTCTCGTGCAAATATCTTAATACTCTTTAAATAAGACAAATTAACCTACAAGTAACTTCTCAGCAAAATATGAGCTTGAAAAAGTTCTAGTTCCATTGGTGGAATATTCCACTGTGCCGTTACCTAGCAACCCTAGCCACGCCCAGCCTGTTACCTAGCAACAAAGTACTAGTTCCATGGGCAGATTTTCACTTATAACAAGACATTTTTCTCATGTTATAAGTGAAATAATCTGCCCATGGAACTAGTACTGTTTTAAAATCAATATTAAGAAATGATTTACTTAAAACAAACTCTTATAAGTTACTTATAAGATGGTTTTATATTATTTCATGTGTACTAATATATTTCCACTAGAATGTAGACAAAAATACTTGGTAAGAGTTTGTGTTTTTGCAGTGTAGAATGGTCTGAATAGTCGCAACAAAATGTGATGCTGGAAATTCAGAGCGGAGTTTCATCCGTAAACCTGCTGCTGTTAAGTTCATCAGTTTGGGTTTTATTGGTGCAGGCTCCCCAGATTCAAAAAGATTTAAATAAACAATATAATTAATTTAAAACACACCACTGTAGTGTTGTTTTTTTTTACTCACTACGTCTTCAGACATTATTCTTCTGTTCTACATTGTTTCATTACTGTTACATTCACATGTAACAGTAATGTTACTGTGAACATTACAGTAACATTGTTTTGATTAAGACTCAAAACAGGTTGAGTCTTAATCAGTTTCAATAGAAAACCTGCTTTTCTTAATTAAATGAAGAAAACAGCCAACATGAGACTTGTAAACAGGAAGTTTTCCTGCTGTGGAGCTTTATATTTTAGCACTGGTGTGTTTTATTCACTAGCAACTGGATAAAAATGACATCAGGAAACCAGTGGACAAACATTATTGGACTTGAAGTGTTCCCACTTTGGATCTTGGGATACTTTTTGTTGTTCCTTTAATTTAAACCAATACAACTGATAAAAGAAAACTAAATGCTGCTGTAAGATAAAAAAAAATGTATATTTTTGTTAAGTGATTAAAAGCAAAAGGTTATTAGATTCAAACAGATTCCTGAATATTTTTCTGTTAATGAATGAATACATTTCTGTTTATGTGCAAGCCGCTCCCCTCCAGAACTTCCTGTTCATCCCTTAATGCGCTGCAGAAGCTGCTCCGGACCAGATTCTTCCGACTGACTTACAAGAAATGAAATTATTGAGATCTGTGAAAATGGTAGGGAGGAAACGACGTTATCTCCGCTCGCTGCTCCGAACACATGGCTGGGATCTGACCTGACGCAGAATGCAGCCAGCCACTGTTTAGCTGCTACTGTATTAATGTTTGCTAAATGATTTTACACCTAGTACACGTCTGTTTCTATCAGCCTCGCCGTGTCGAATGCACTGATTCAACCAGAGTGGCTTGAAGAGAGCTAATGAAAGCTGCAAAGATGCACAGCTTTGCCTGGCTGTCGGCGCAGCTGCAGCTCCACGCAGACAGTTTGACTTGGATTCCTGCCAGGCGTTCATTCATCCCGGTGTTTCCAAACATTTGCCAATAGGCTTCCTCATTATTGTGTTTACAGTGGCTTTAGTCTTTGTTGAAACTATTTGCATGCTTGTATTTCCACAGGGTTGCACTGACAGCTTCATTAATGTGGGTTACCATGGAGATTTTTCAATCAAACCCAGTTTTTACAATAGGATATATGTTTTTACAATTCTTTCTTTACATTCTGCATCCGTGGACGGAGGGCGTAATGGGTTCATTAGGGAAATGCAGGCATATCTTTGGCCAGCAACTCTCCAGCTATTTCTGGAGGGTCCAAATGTTCCCAGGCTTTCAGAGACATATAGTCCCTTCAACAAGAGTTGGGTCTGAGCCGGGGTCTCCTCCCAGTGGGATGGCCTCAGACTTAAAGGGAACCTGTAGTCAAAAAATCCTTTTTTTCACTTTTTTATACTTCCTTTTGGATCTAAAACAGTTCAAGAGCTTAGAAAACCACCAGGGCATTTTTTTGGCAGTAAGTTAATGTTTTTTGGTGTCTGGAAAACTAGCCACTTCAAACACCTCCTGATTGTTAATGGGGCAGTATTGTGTGTTTTCCAGCCACATAGTGCCATTTTATTGCACAGTCAAGTAACCATGTTACCTTCAGTTGTATAAATGCTAATTTGACTTGGTAATTTGATATTGGGCCTCTGTCTCTTTAAGAAGCTCCTGCTCTTTCTGAAACTCCACCTTCAGGAAGTCATCACAGCATGGCTCCTCCATTAACTCTCAAATGGAGGAGCTGAGAAGTAGCTTCTATAATAAGCTCAGCACTTCCAACAGGTGTTTGCTAATCTCTGCTGGCTAGTCTGAAGGAGCTGAGTGGGGGAGCTGCCTCTGTGAGGGGGAAGCTCAGAAACTTAGAAGCTGCAGCTCTGAGGAGGAGCTTCGTCCTAGAAGGCGGGGCTAGGTCCACCCAGGCGTTTTGAACAGCTGAATGGTAGGGTACTGAATGGAGGCTCAGCAACGTGGTTTCATGGCCTTTTGACGTCACCACCTTCACTCATGTCTCTGTTTTGCCCTTTGTTTTGTCTGAATGTTGCCATTTCCCCTAATGTGTCCTTTCCTCTTTTTTGTTTTAGTTTGTTAGAAACGGTGGAGTACTCCCTATTTAACCCAGAAAAGGATTGTTTTAGTTTATTAGTAATATTAGAAATTGTGGAGTACGCACTATTTAGATCAATATTATAAAGCCCAGAAATGGAATCAGAATTAGAATAATTACGAACTTGGAATCCAGAAGTACTTAACAAGAACAATACTTTTAATTACTACATTTTAGAAACTGTAACTACTCACTTTACCCCAGAAGAGGATTTAGATTAGTCACTCTTGAGCTTATTTTTCTTCTTTTTCTTTCCTTTGGTTTGTTATTTTGTTTGTATTTCCTTTTAATTCATGTAAAGCACTTTGAATTGCCTTGTTGCTGAAAATGTTCTATATAAATAAAATTACCTTATCTTACATTACCTTAAAGTCACACTGTGCTGTTACCTTGCAACCCACAAGGTTGCAAGGTAACCTTGTCTAAAATGACTGTTGTTCAACCAACAACAGCTGGTTGTGCATGAGGCTCTACTTCTGCTTTTCAAACATGTATAGTTCTGGGGCCAGCAGCAGCTTATTTGGATTTAAAGTGAAAATTTTTAACTTTTTTCCTTCAATAAAAACAGATTTCTTCATGCCCACCACAAAATGAGCATATTCACATTTTAGATGTTATAGTTTCAGCTCAAAGCCAATTTAGACACGTAAGGAAGTCTTTACAAACAGAGCAAAGAGATAACTTGAAAGACTTGAGGCCTTAATGAAGCTTTTAGCCATTATGTGCTATAAATGCAGCTGTGGCTTAATGTAATTCCACACTGCAGCTGAAAGGAGTCATTACTGCACTGGAGTAACTCCTAGAGAGGCAAACACACAACCTTTCCAAGTATTTACACCATATCTAATGCAAATATGTTAGCACACTTGTCATAAAACAAAACTAAACTACAAGGAACTTTTTAGCAATATTTAAGAGTTTTAAGTCAATAATTCTTCAATATTGATAAAAATTACTGGTCCAGTGGCAGATTATTTCACTTATAACATGGGAGAAATGTATTTTATAAACTAAATAATCTGCCAATGGAGCTAATNCTTTTTCACCAAAATTAAAGAATTATTAACTCTGAAAATGCTCATATTTTCAATTTGTTTTATTTTAAGTGAACAATTTTCTAAGAAAGAGATTTTAAAAAATCTTAGCTTCCAATATTTTTTACAAATAAACATCTGAACGTTGGTCTATTTTTGTATAAATTTCTTAACCTTGCAGGCCGATTCATCAGAAAACTTTAGTAGATTTCAGCGTGGGGAGCCTGAAATATTCTGTAATTTGTCTGATGATTATTTAACCACTCAGTGAAACTCATAAAACATCAGATTTTAATTCTCAGTTGATCAGATGATTCTTATTTATGTGAGAAAGTAACTCACCCAGTTGAACTCTGTGAATCCCACAACTTTTATTCCAGCATACATGCACTGTTCAAATGTGCTACATTTCCTTATATTTACTACATGTGTAATATATTTTCTTTGTATTCCAGCTTACATGGGAATACAGAAACAGTGTGACTGTGTCTTATTAATGTTCAAGTTTCACTGAATCTCAAAATAAGCTCTTTATTCTCAGTTTCAAGTTCTCTATCTGAACTAGAAATGAGGTTTTAGTGTCTCGCTCTCCTCTTTATGTTTGTTGTGTTTTTCTAATATTGTTTATTTGTTTCTCAGCCTCCATCAGCCTCCATCCAGACTCACTAACACAACCTGGCTCATAATGTTCTCAGCCTGAATCTGCCAGATGTCGAAGTCGGCTGTAAAAGAGGAAAACTTCTGTTAATCATGTGGCTCAGTGCAGAGCACAGCTTTCAGCTTAATTATTTATTTATTCATTAAACTTTTACCTCCAGCTTATGCTGAGCTGTAAGGGATTAAACATTTATAATGCAGCTTCAACCAGTGGATGTGTAAGCAACTGGAAGATGGCTGCCTTCCAGGATATATTAACCCTCACACTATGATCGCTTGTCTTCTGTCCAATCATAAACTGAGTTTATAAGTCAACCAGATTTTTTGAACAATATTTAGCTTCCTAATAATAAACCATAATGTTCAAGATGTCTGTCTGAAAACATAAACCACCTGGTTTGAGTCTGTTTCCTGTTGAAGGATATTCAGTTCCAGACAGAAGTTGACAAACAATCATCATGGGGATGAATTTCAAGTCATTTTAGACCTAATTTTTATGGATGCACCGATTTATCTGTTCCGATTTCCTTAATTTTTCAAGATCTACTCATTTTTACATGAGGAGCCAACCTTATCCACCGATCTGATCTACCTCTGCAAAGTCTAGAAATGTCCTCTGTTCAGTCATGAGAGGTTTTTCTGGCAGACCGGCCCACCAGGTCATGCCTTCGTGTTTGCCATTAACAATCATCACCCAACTATTGCCAGTTCTGCAACTTTCTTGCTATATTGAGCAACATTTAAAACAAAAACAAATTGGTATCGGCTAAAATCGGAATCAGAACAGGTTTTTTTAAAAGATTGGTAATCGGCGATCAGACAGAAAACTGCAATCGGTGCACCCACACTAACTTTAGTGGTTTATTTGAACTCTTCAGATATACAATGCACCTGTGAAACAGTTTGAAAACAGGAATAAGGTGCACAGATTCTTATTTAATATTTGAAATGATCAAACTGAAACGTAGCAGAAGCTAATGTTTTTGAAAATTGTTTGGTACCATGTGGTGTTTTGTCCTGTCGGAGATGCAGTGTGAGACATAGTTTTGTTCCCCTCCATTTGTTTTTTCACCTCCCAAGATGGCTGCAGCATCAGTCACCTGTCTACATGTCTTATGCTGTTTGTTTTTTGTTCTTTGGACAAAAAACTGAAATGTCAATTTCCCCCCTGGAGGACTGAGGTTGTTCTTTTTCCTTGTTCTTGTTTCTTCTTTCTCTTTCTTCTAGTTGAATACTTTGTAGCAAAATCAGTTCCAAATGTTTTCTTATATTAGAATAGGCTGTTGCACAAACAACTTCCTTGCACAAACTTCTAGAAAACTGCGAAACTGCTGAAACATTGAGTTCCTTTAAATCAGGGATAATACCCATTTGTTTAAAGCTGCCTTTGATAAATAACAACTGAAGCATCATGAAGTGTACAGTCTGTTTTTCGAGCTACAATTGTTTTCCTTACTTTGCCACTAATGTTATTTTTCTTCTAATTGTTTAAAACAATGTTAATTTCCATTTTGCTGATAATACACAAATAAATGTGTAGCACAACCAGTTTAAACTTGTTAACAATGGACGGGCGCTTCCTCTGTGACCATGTCAGGCTCGCTGCCAGTCTCTGGTATAAATAGATTAGTTAAACTACAGAGCTGGTATATTCAGAAATCAGCTGCTGCATTTGAAGGACTTTATTTGCTCTCTCTGCACCTCTGGCATGTGGAGAAGCTCTAAAAATAAACATGGTGTGTTTTTACAAACTGTCTAAAAATAACAGTCCTGTGGGTTTTAGGCTGCAGATGAGAGAAATCCTTCGCACATATCTTACATGCAATCATTAATCTTAAAGCTGCAGGATGTAACTTTTATTAAAAAAAAGAAAAAAAAAAGGTTTTTACATATCTGTTAAAATTGGCGCTGGTTGTTGCAGTTCAGTCAGAAACTCTCTGCTTTTCTACAGCTGGTTCACCACAATATAGTGTGAAAATGCTAATGCTAGTTAGCATAACCACCCATGATGGCAGATAAAGTTTTCCTGTAACTGTAAGTTGTTTTTCTGCCATTAGCACATTTATCAGCGTGTGCAGGAGGTTGATTAACAGCTTTAAGGCTCTCCTCACAACTGTACATGAATAACTAAATACTTCAGTTTCCTTCTACAACTGCCTATTTTAATAGTTGAAACACCAAATATACCCTAATATCCATTAATACCAGATTGATAATGGCACAACTTTGCTGTACCAGCACAGATACACTTAAAAAAAAGATTTGGGTGTAATTTTCACTGAGGCCAGCCCATCCAAACAGATGCAGACGAAGCAAAATCGTCCTAAAATGGAGGCCATCTTTCATTAAGCTCAGTTTGTTGCTTTCAGTTTCATTTGTCAATAAAACTACAACAATCCAGTCAATTTCACTCAAATAAGTTGCTAAATAAAAGTTTATAAAGTGATTTACAAATCCATTTTCAACAGAAACAATACTTTTTGTTTCATTATAATATATATATATATAAGTGTGCTTTATAACTATGAGCTTTAGTTTTTTAATTACCTGGCTTGTAAACGCCACTGCCCATGAAACATGCGTGCTTACGTCATTACGCCTGTAAGACAAATTCCAGGGCGAAGTCAGTGTTTATCTCCCAGCGCCCGCCACTCATTGAACCGTTTATCCCAGCGCTTCTGCTCCGTCGCTCTGAATTGTTATGAACAGCGAAGGAGTTTCGATGACAGAGTCCAAAAGAAGAGAGCGCCAGTCCGGTGAGGCTCGGTCCGTTTTCCCGACCTGCTGTATATGGATCCGTTTTAACGGCGTTTTTGCGGTTTTCAGGATGTAGCCTCAGCCGTGTGCAGTGCACTACGTGCGCCACTATGTTATCTTCCGTCTCAAATAATATTTTCATTTTTAGAGCCCCCCCTTTTACATGATGTTAAAAATGTTGATACTTTAACGATTTAAGCAGTGGATTTAATTGTTAGCTCAATGCTAAACGACGGAAATCTCTCGGTAGCAGCCGTAACCTTCCTGTCGTTTCCCAAATGGAAAAGCGAAGTTGTTTTGTACTAGGAACTAAATGTGCTATAATAAGAACGACATACGATTGTTTGGACATATTGTGTGAAGGAAATAAGTGTGATTGCATATCGTTTATTTATATGTAGCAGGCTATAATTAAAAGTAAATGGGATTAGCTGTAATGACGGGTGGGGTCAGTTTGTGTTGTTTCTAGTAATCGATATTCATCGCATTAGTAACGGCAGTCATTTAAACCCAGAGTCACTTAAGAGTGCCAATGCAAAGCGGCACCAGTTTCAACATGTTTACATTTTTTATTTTCTATGTTTCCTGGTTATTCCCCCATCATCAGCCCGCCTGTGAAAGGTCGTTTCGTACCTGCTTGGACAGCAGATGTTAGCGTTTATGTGGAGTAACAGACATTTATTTTTATTGTCCCTCAGTGGGGATTAATTCAGGTGTAGCAGCAGCAAAGTGACAGGCAATCGATGCATGTAGGTTCACACAAAGACAAAACTATAAAATATAACAAAAAATAAGATAAATATATTGTACAGAAATAACATCAAATTATTGTGCAACCGAGTAGAATATATTTTTAAAAAGTATATGCATGCGTATTTTTGTATTGAAGAACAAACTATTTACAAAAAAGTGAAAATAAAACACCAACAGGAATGTAAACGCCCATTAGCTGGCGGTGATGGCTGCCTGAGGAAGGGGCGCTGCTCTGAAGCGGGCGCCAGAAACAATGGCACACTCTTTACAACAATGGTGAAAAAATATAGTCAGCATTTTCTGCATTTAACAGCCATCTGTGCATGTATTAGTATTCTGATCAATAATAGAGGCACAGCACTGATTAGGGTAGACGTCCCTCCTGGGTAGAAAAGAAAACTCATGGAAAATGTCAGAGGGAGAAGGATAAAGATGTTTTAGGGATTAAAAAAAGGTTATGCAAACAGGTTGACAGACAGAAGGCAAATTATATCATTGCATGAAGAAGAGGCGTGTAAATATTGTAAATATTCAGGTTAGCTTAAGCGTCTAGTAAAGTGACAGGTCACTGTTGTGCTGTGTGCAATATGACAGATTATGGCAAGAACAGTAAACGAACTTGTTTGTAGTGATTTGGTTTAGACTACATGGAGAATTAATTATAAATAAGAAAATTCAGGGTTTCCCCCAGTGTATTATAAGCCTGGCGGGCCACCAGGCTTTACTTGTCCCCCACCAGGCTTAGCATTACTTATTTATTTAAGTCTTTTTAAAATGTTTGCATTTTTAAGACTTTATGGTTGATCAGGTGTTAATCTTTCAATAAAACATTTATCAAGTGATATTTTCAAATTTCCTGTCAACTTTAAACATAAAAAAAATATACACACACACAACGGCCGCTGGATGAATGACTGCCTCAGCGCCCAACCACCAGGCTTAGAAAGTTTTCTGGGGGAAACCTTGGAGCTCGGCAGTGATGAACTTGTGTTTTAAATATCTTCACTGAATATAATGCTAGATCGGTGTAGATGTATAGTAAATCTGATCAGACTCACTGTTATTCAAAAACAGATATTTACTTATGTTTTTATATGCGGGTGACTGCTGTATGTTTTAAACCTACTTAACATAAAGTTAATGTCATCCAGCTGTGAGGATGGAGAAAAAGAAGAGGAAGAAGAATCAGGACAGATAGGAGGAGGCAACAGGTTGGTCTAAAACTAGGCCTTGGTGTAGGAACAGCAAGTGAATAATTTATAAAATATTATTTTTAAAAGGTCCATTAGCACAGTCTGAAATTAGTTTAAATCTATCATTGTTTGACCATATGACTCAGCAGAAAATATATAGAGCTACTGTTACATTTTATTAATTTATCACACAATGTTTGTTTTAGATGGAGCTGATCACCCATAGTAACATGAGATAAATAAAAGTCTTTTACATACACTTTAAATCACCTAGCTGATTGTGGAATAACTTCATATAACGTCACAGGTGAGCCTAAAAATCCAGAAATGAATAAATTGGAAAATGAATAAAATTGAATAAAAACTGAACACAAATAAAATTTTCAAAGAAATCCCTTAAAAAACATGATTAGTGTTGAGCGAAACTAGAGAGAAAACCAAACCAGCACGTGGTGAAGACGCTGGTTGGCGTTTGAGTTTATTCTCCACAACATGGCCTGAAAGGCCACTCAGACAGGAAGAAGTCATTACACTGAAGCAACAGAAAAACCCTCATATTTTAGACATTTCATGTGATGAAAGTGAAACAGAAATCTGTGGCCTTACTGACCGTCGTTGCTGTTAGAGGGAACTGCAGCCCGACCTGTGGAGGTCGGGGTGGGAGCTTTGGGGTTGGTGGGTGTTTTCCTACATGATGAAGTGTTGCACTTCACAGACAGAGCGCTGAGGATGTGTGAGAACAAACCTGGTTCTGTTACACCGACTGGGTCACACTGCCAGTTTGAGGAAACCCAAACTGTCCCACTCAAATCCTGCAGTTTAAAAGTTGAGGAGATGGATGTGGATTTCTGAAGTTAACCATCGGTGTTTTCAGATGTCGCCATTGTGGCATATTCAGACTTTCAAACTGCTTTTCCACATTTCAGTTAAAAATCAAGGCGTATCAGGATTTCTGTTCTAATGTTTTAATCAAAGCTGGAAGCAGAAGTGATTCCAGTCGTACTTCATGGTAGATGCTTTAAATAATTAATGTTCGCTTCCAGAAATTACATCGACTTTTTACATTTTTCTAAATTCCAGTTTGTTTCCGTCCACCTCCAGTAAAACGAAACCCGCTGGTCTCTGTTGGTTTCTGCACTGGCACCCTTAAGACCTCCTGGCTTGCTGCTCCTGGCAGGACTGCGTTTTGATTTGTGTTTGGTTTACTTTGCCTGTAGGTCCGGGCCGTTACAATTCACACGATGTTGAAGGTACGGATCTGATCCGCCGTCTGGGTGAATGTCGTCGTTAGTAACCATGAGTGTCTGGGTTTGGCTGTGCTGTGACAGGAAACCCAACTAACCTGAACAAACTAATGATGTAGAAAGATGCAGAATGGATGGAGTGATTACAGAGAATGTTTGATGAAAAGCTGATAAATGAAAGACTTTTTTCACTCTGTGTGTGCGCGCCGTCTTCCTCCCAGCTCTGGAGGACGCAGACTCAGGCATCGGCCTGTGCGGCTGGCTGCTGGTTGGATTCTCCCTCCTGCTGATGCTGGTCACCCTCCCCATCTCCATATGGATGTGCATTAAGGTCAGCTGCTCATCAGTTCCTGCTTTTAAAGCAAACAGCTGGGTGAAATGGACTTTATCACCACATTATGATAACTGTACAGGCGAACTGCGTGCCACAGTAATTATCGCTCCTAAAAACACACCCTTTAGCTCCACTTTTTCAGGTCATCATGTAAAGAAGTGCGATTTGTGTCACTGACCTGCATTTAACCATCTTTTCTTTCCATATTGTCATGGAACAAACAGTGGAGAAAATAAACTAACAGAAAATATGGATATTTTGGGGGAGTTTTAATTTGAACTTATTGGGACGAGGCTAAATCTAATTCTTATCATGACAAGAAATTGAATCTGTTAAATGATAAAAGCCCTCCGCAGTAATGTAATGGAGGAAGTCATTCCGACTCAGCTCATGGTTTTGTCAAAGTTTCTTGTAATTGGAGCCACCAGTTTTACATTTTCAGTAAAGTTTTATCAGATGAACAACATGGCCGACCACCACCACCTTTCCCCTCCTGCGTCTGAAATACGGGACGTTTTAGTGCTGCTGCTCAGTGACTGGTTTACTCTAAACATGCTGCTGTTCTGCGTGGTTTGTGGTTCAGTCGGAGTCATACGGCAACGTTTCAGTCAGGTTGAGGTCTGAACTTTGATCGAGATGCTTGAACATCTTGATTCACACAATGTTTCCAGGCTGATGAGCCAGTTTGGACCGAACTAAGGAGTTTCTTTAGTCTCATCATCCATAGGGTTCTGATCCAGATGTTTTGTCCAGAAGCTGTGCTGCTATTTAGTTTTTTAAGGAGAAGAGACGTTTCTCCTCCAGCCGTTCCAAACTCTACGTGTTCATCTGGTTTCTAATCACCCTGTCATGAACTTTAACCTTTAACACGCTAACTAAGTATTTTAGTCTCATTTCTAGTGTGAATGTCTTAGAACACTTTAAATAAAACAAAACTAACTTTCAAGTAACTTATCAGCAATTTATCGGAGCTTGAGAAAGTTCTAGCTCCATTGGTGGAATATTCCACTGCACCGTTACCTAGAAACCCCAGCCAAGCCCAGCCCGTCACCTAGCAACCCCAGCCAAGCCCAGCCCGTCGCCTAGCAACCCCAGCCAAGCCCAGCCCGTCGCCTAGCAACCCAGTTCTAGTTCCATTGGCAGATTATTTCACTTATAACATGACATCTTTGTCATGTTATAAGTGAAATAATCTGCCAAAATAATTAGTTTTAACTTAGTACTGGTGTCAGATAAATTTACTTATGACAAGACAATTTCACCGTTTCATAAGTGAAACAATCTGGCAATGGATCTAGAACTTTATCAATATCAAGGAATTGCTTACTTAAAACAAGCCTCTATATCTTGCTGATAAGTTACTTTAAAGTTTAATTCAAGTGTAATAAGATATTTGCACCAGAAACTAGACAAAAACTACTTGGTGAGTTTTATAGTTTTTGCAGTGCAGCGTCTGAGTTGAAGTTCCTTTAAACTGATGAATCTGTTGATTTTCACTCCTGGAGTCATTGAAACTTTCCCACCTTCCTGTAATCTCTATATTTGAGTTGACGTTGTTTCAAAATGGCCGTCTAACCCTCCTGGACTGATGCGCAGCAGCAATTGATCTCTGGCACACCGGCTGATGACCAATTAATCAATAGATTTAATCAGGATCTCCTGCTTTGTGGAAAAACAAAGGGCTCTGTAGAGACGCTCACTGATGATGATCTGAACTGGAAGCTCCTGGTTGTTTTCTGTCTAAGATTCATTATTATTTACACATTGATTAAAAAAAAGGAGCACCATATATGAAATAAGCGTCTCTCTTTTTTACCATGACTGTATTTGTTGTGTTTTGATTAGTTTTTCATGTTAAAACTACAGAAAGTGCCGTTGTGTTTGCTCTGTTCAGATAGTGAAGGAGTACGAGCGAGCCATCATCTTCCGCCTTGGGCGCATCCTGAAAGGAGGAGCCAAGGGACCGGGTACGTCTGGGCTAAACTTTACCTCACATAAACGCCTCTGGTTCTCACATCGATTCAGTTCGGTTGATTAAATGCTTTAAACCTGTTTGTAGCACCAAAGATTTATTAAAACATCCAAAGGGACCATTTGGTTGAGAGCCTGATAAGTTGGGACAAACAGCTGCGTGTTTCTGCTGAATCATACGGACGGATACATCCAGTCCTTCATTAATGGACGTTTTTCGTTATAATTTTATATGATCATGATGTTCTTAATGGTGCGTTCACACCGAGCGCGTTTTGAGCGTCAGGCGTGGCGTGAGTTGAACCGTTTGGAGCGTTTTGAGCATTTGACGCATCAAGAGCATCCAACGGAAAACGACGCCTAGATCTGACGCGCCTGATGCTCCTCCACCACGCAGACGAAACGCTAAACCGCCAAGCATCTGCGTTCAAAATGCGTGGTTTGTTGTGAACGCACCACGATGCGCAGGCGCCTCACACGTGTGCAGCTCGATGTCGTGTTTCAGTCACGTTCTAATAAAAGCTGCAAACGTCCGTCTGTCCCTGTGCTGCAGTTCAGCCAGCAGGGTTCCACTTGACGCTCGTTCTGTTCCCAAACATTTACTGACGTTTCCTCATCACTGTTTACACAACAACGCCTTCATGGTTTGGTAAAACTTATTTACCTTCTTCTAACACCACAGGTTTGTTCTTCATCTTGCCGTGTACTGACAACTTTATCAACGTCGACATGCGAACCATCACCTTCGACATCCCGCCGCAAGAGGTACAACTCGCTTTTTATACACTCCTGATACATTTCAGTCATTTATTACTGGTGTTTTTATGTGACTGTGGCTTAGAAAACTAGTTTTACTTTCTTTATTGTGAATTAAATTGCAACACAAAGCAAACAAAAATGATTTTTAGTGTAAAAATGTTGCTTTGACCAACACAGTAACAGCTGCCCCAGTCTGGCATTGATGCCCTCAGTGAGGAGGAAAACACACCGAGAATCATTTTGAAAGAAACATGCTGGTTACAAAAGGATTTATTAATGGAAGGTTTAGTGGAAGGAAGACATGTTGTAGGCAAAGGTGCAGGAGACGAGGGGAGAGTTACATGTTTGATAGTGAAGGAGTATATGTTTGGGTGTGGCGGTTCTTCAAGCTCTGACTCAATCTACAGCCCACCATCAGAGCAGCACAGTGGTGATTACCTGCCTTCCCTTCCTAATCCACTTTTCCTTCCACTAAACTTTCCGTTAATATCCTTTATCAATATTCCTCTAGCTTTTGTGTAGAGTCACTGACAGATAAATGTCAGTTCTTCCCCCGAAACAAAACGTTTCTTTATTAAAAGTCATTATTGGTCTCAGGTTATAATCAGAAATGAGAAACAGAAGTAATTCACGGTTAAAAACATGAGAATCTGTTTCTGAGTTGAGTTACTGAAATGTTGCAACATTTCAGGTGAATTTATCTGAAAACGTTCCCGTTCTGTCAGGTTCTGACCAAAGACTCTGTGACGGTGAGCGTTGACGGCGTGGTGTACTACCGGGTCCAGAACGCCACCCTGGCCGTGGCCAACATCACCAACGCGGACTCCGCCACGCGGCTGCTGGCCCAGACCACCCTGAGGAACGTCCTGGGCACCAAGAACCTGGCGGAGATCCTGTCCGACCGCGAGGAGATCGCTCACAACATGCAGGTAGAACACACAACCCCTCCACCATTCATCAAATGTTCTAAATGAGGTTTATTGGTTTAGCATTTACACATTTGTTAAACTTAAAGTAGCTCCCTATCAATAAGCTGCAGCATAAAAGTGAAAGTTTCTCCTCCTCCAGCTCTGAGCATTAGCAGAACGTCGGCCCCTCTCTGTGTGGGCGCTCTGCTCTTTATGCTGCTTGTGGTTTTGCTTGATTGTTTGTTGAGGTTTTGCTCTCAGCTTCCCGAAACCTTGTTGATCTGATCTGAGATCAGACTGATAGAGGAAACCTGCAGGGAGGTTCAGACCAACCTGCCGGCTGCAGAAACAGGCCGTCACCTACATCCTGTCAGAACCAAACCACCAAGGTCAGCCCAGTTAGCTGTGATCCCAAAGGCAGCTACGTTTCATACTGGACTTTAAGCATGGTGGACAAGAGTCTCATAGCTACAGATACAAATATGACCTCATGCCATCTTTATTAGCAATACTATACGTTACATTGAAGTTGAAACTACAGGAAAACTCAAGAGTCTGCAACCTCTGCAGCTCCACATCTTTCTCCTGAACTCACTTCTGCATTCTTCCTACTTTAACTTTTGAGTCGACGTTAGCTAGAAAGCTAACATTAGCTTAAATGTATCATTATTAAGTTGTTTTACACTGTAACGATGGCTAACTTTTACTCAGACCATTCACTTAGCTTGAGGTATTTTAGTCCAAATTATCTAGAAAACTACTGTTAGTTCAATGATATCATATTATCATTGGCATGTCGCCTTACACTAGCATCATGGCTAACATTATCTCAGTCCACTCAGTTAATTAGCTTGAGTTTTAAGTCAAAATGAGCTGAAATGCTAATGTTAGCTTAAGTTCTGTGGAACGTCTCCAGAACCGTCCAGCCTGTCGACGTCATTCCTGGACCGGTTTTAAAAGAACTCTTAGGGCAGCGTTACAGTACAACTCAGTTTCTCACAAATATAACATTAAAGCCACAGAACTGACAAAATTATACAAAAAATGATAAAAGCTTAATACTATCTGTAGTTTGGTTCCAAACTGCGTCCTCTAACTGGGAGCATTACAGAAGTTTAATGCTTGAAACCTGATCAGTGAATTTATTCTTACTGTGTAAATGAGTCTCAGTATGTGTCCTTCTGTTCTGTAAAAGGCCTTTCTTGTTATTAACAATTTTTTGTAATTATGTTTGATAATTAGTGTGCACGTCTCTGGGGGTTTTATGCCTGTTTGGATCTTTTACCCTTTAACCTCAGTTTGTATGAAAACTGCTTTATAAATTAGGTTTGATTAGCTGTGAGATGGACCAGTCAAAGTTTTCCCAGGAAGAAGCCCAGAGATTTGCTCCCAACATGCAGCAGGTGGCTTCCCTGAAGGGCTCCACCTGCTGGACGATGTTTGAAACTACAGGGTGTGTCCGTCTCTCTGCTTCCAGTCGACTCTGGACGACGCCACAGACGACTGGGGGATCAAGGTGGAGCGCGTGGAGATCAAGGACGTGAAGCTGCCTCTGCAGCTGCAGAGAGCCATGGCGGCCGAGGCGGAGGCGAGCCGCGAGGCCAGAGCCAAGGTGAGGCGGAGCGCAGCGCCGTCAGCCGGCCGCTGTGTTTAATGTCTGATCCAGAACCAGGCCCGCTTCCTCTCAGAGCTCTAATGGTTCTTAATCTGTCCTCACAACATGGTTACATCATCAACCCTAATCCTACCAAGCAATAATTAGATCCTGACTGAGGAAAGAACGGCTTGGGATTTAATACAAGATTCAGGAAATCCATTTAATTTTAGTAAAAAATATTCTCTATAAATAATAAACCAGGTGTTATAATCAGATCAATGACAGAAAATATTCAAGTAAGACTTTAAATCAATCCATAAGTGGTTAAACTAATTGTCTTTTTATATAATATAGGATAAAATACATTAGAATGAAATGTTAAAGATAGATTAATTACTCAGAGATATATTTAGTGTTAGTTATTTTTATTATTATGATCAATGTAAGGAGAGAAACTGTGACCCAAAAGAACAAAGTGACCGTCTCACATCATTTACTAAGAATCATCTTCATGACCTTATCCTGCAGTCAGACACGGCGGTGGCAGTATGATGGCCTGAAAACGCTCCAGACTAAACTGGTTTTCCCAAAACTGCTCCTGTGGAGTTCACGATAAAACCGGGACTTTTGGTATCTGTTGTTCAGAAAGCTTTGGTTCTTTAGTTCCTGTGAGATGAAGGCCCTCCTCCTCCTCCTCTTCCTCCTGCAGGTGATCGCGGCTGAGGGTGAGATGAACGCGTCGCGGGCCCTGAAGGAGGCGTCCCTGGTGATCTCTGAGTCCCCATCGGCTCTGCAGCTGCGCTACCTGCAGACCCTCAACACCATCGCTGCCGAGAAGAACTCCACCATCATCTTCCCGCTGCCGCTGGAAATGATGCAGAGCCTGATGAATCGCTGAGGAAGAACGCCGCCCACACACACACACACACACACACACACACACACACACACACACGCATGTTTGTGTTGCTATCTTTGTGGGGACTTTCCATTGACTTCCATTCATTTCTACAGCCTAAACCTGACCTTTACCCTTTTCCTAACCCTAACCATCACATACCTAACCCTAACCAACCAAAACTCAATTCATACCTTAGCCCTAACTCTGACCCCTGACCCAAAAACAGGGTTTCCCCTCATGGGGACCAGGCTCCGGTCCCCACAGCGTAGTATATGTCAGGAAAATCGTCCCCACAATGTATTACAAACAAACACACACACACACACACACACACACACACACACTCCCTCTGTCTGCCCACACTTTGTCTCCCCTCAAAATACACACTGACTCTGTAAAGTCTC